CTAATTCTATAGAAGCTAAAGAGTAACAGAATGAAGACTGATTGGTTGCACATTACTTGGAACATAAACTTGACTGGGACTCTATGTGGTTTCTCAAACAAGATCCCAGGCAAGCATGTACTTAAGCACACAGGAAAAGATATTCTACAACTCAGAATAATCCCTTAAGCAGAGTGCATCTTTAAACACCAACTAACAGTCAGAAGACATGATGAAAACTTAATTTCACTGCATATGGACATCTAACCAGAGTTTTAACTGGGAAACTGAGCATTCTATACCAAGCAAAGTCCAAATGTGCTATAGAATCCCTTGAAGCCTGGCATTCAGACTAATCAGACATCAGCAAGAACCTAGAGATAAACAATATCTACATAACATTCAAAAGACATAAGGAGGAAGAAAGTAAATTTATTTCAGTCATTTAAGAGTATGCTATTATATAACCCCTAGTGGTAGAATTCCAATGGTTGTTGTGGTATCTGTTTCCTGATCTGGCCTATCTCAAAGGATTGCACTCATAGATTTTCATTTGTACATACATACAAATGAAAATACAGATTTTCATTTGTGCATACATACATATCTACATAAATATCCATGACCAAGTAGCTCATATTGAAAAGCCTCTTGAGGCAAAGTAGTATTCTCTTTTAAAAAAACCAACACAACAAACAAAAGTCAATTTCAGCAATCAGTGACCATGTGTTTGAACTATTTCCTTCCATTTTGAGTTTAATCAGAGGAATACAGGTAATATAGATAGAAACCAAAACATAATATATTCCTAATCTAATTTATGAGTCACTAAATAAGTTTTCATTATATATATTTTGATATGCACCAATATCATTATTTATATTTGTTAGTTTCAGATGAAACTCATTGGTTTGCTCATATGATAATTATATCCATTTTTGGTGTATATTATTTCAGAAGACAGTAGTATAATTCTCTAGGGGTTGAATCCTTTTGATAACAGTCATTACTGCATTTAACATTATTATTAATTATAATTGTGATGTCTTACACTATGCAAGAAAGTGTATTCCTATGCAATAGGAAACGAATATGTCTTTGGCATATATGCATCTGATTCTGGTACATCAATCTTTAGATGAGAATTTTGAGCTAGTGATTCTTATATTGGCCACCGCACCCCAAGAGAAACAACAGTAGTTTTGCTAGCCTTTTCTCTAGCCAATCTTATTCATTTAAATGAGAATGAATTAATCTCTACTACCTCTAGAGCTTCCCCCCAAAATCTCTAAAAGATATAAACACTCTATAGTCCCTGAGCTTTCCGAAAGGGACTCCTTCTGATAAAATAGTCCAAACTCAGAGTTGAACCATGGTAATCTAACATCAAAGTGGTCTTAAAGCAGCTAGGAGACAGATGTTTATGTTAAATCTCTTTCCGTAGGCCTAACTTATAGTCCTTGGGGAGCTACCGGAGAGCTGTATTATATATCTTTTCCTCTTTGCTACACTAAACTACAATATATGAATACCTTTAAACATAAAAATACTGGTTTTTCTTCTTTTTCTACTTTTGAATAACATAATACCACATTAAGAAACATTTTCTAATGCTTTTGGCCAAAAATAGCACTGCTTTCTTTATATTAATTTATATTAAGTGTAGTGAAATCTTGAACACATCTAATTAGAAATAAAGGGAGTTGAATGTGTCTTTCTCCCAGGTGATGGGTTATAAGTCTTCAGCCATAATTCTTTCATCCATGTATTCTCACTCAATTTTCCTAATGATTATTTTTTAAATCATGTCTCTTGTCTTGATGGATAAACTAATTTAAAATATATAAATTCATTTTTAATACCATGACCTAATTCCAAAACTATATTGCTTTGCGTTCAATTGCAGTGTTTCTCTTGAGGCCAAAACAGTATTTTCACAAAGAATAATGCTATGCAAAATAACAGGAAACATACTGTGAATAATGTCTTACATATGAAATTTTAGGTAGTATTGCTAAAATATTACTTGGCTATATGCAAAGTCTAAGAGCCACAAAGAGTCAGTGGTTTGTGCTTTATTATTAATGAGCTAATTTCTCTGCCAAGTGACAATGAAAGTGACTTCTCATTCCACCCAATTATGAACTTTCTTATGGTCTTTAATTATAAAGTAAAAAAAGAAGAAAATTGTATGTCTCGATATGATGTTGGAAATTAATTGACTTGAAGGGAACGGAGAGTTTGACTATTTTGAGTTACTAAATGGCATTCAAGTTTGTGCGATATTAGTGAAAAATAATAAAAATATGATTTTTTTGTAAACATGTTCTATAATCATGGTTATAATTGAATAATAATCATGATTTAATGGTTTAATATGTGAATGTAGCAAATTCTAGTTTATTATATACATTATTAAACAACAGTGGCGTGGTGGGCTAGTGGTAAAGTTGCTGGCCTCCCACTCACTCATAAGGTACAGAATTCAATCCTAATGTCAGCAGATACTTTTCTCCTAGAGTACGAAGAAAAAAAATCTGCTGCAAACCCTGCATGGCATCAGGAAGGGCATCCAGTCAGTAAATGCTCAGCTCCATCCAGTTCCCCCAACTTTACCTTGAATTAAGGTATTACAGGGTGTAAAAAGGGAGTTTTAATGGATTGGTGCTATGTGTGAAGTCAGACAGTATTTATTTATTCATTAGATTTTTATCCCACCTTTATTACTTTCTAAGTAACTAAAGGTTACGAACATACACTACCATCTTCTTTCTTCTCTTTTCCCCACAACATCCCTGTGAAGTGGGTTGGGATAAGAGACAGTGACTGGCCCAAGGTCACCCAGCTGGCTTTCATGTCTAAGGTGGGACTAGTACTCATAGTCTCTTGTTTTCATACCTGGTGCCTTAACAAACTGGCTCTAAAATTATATACATTACGCTAAGGTAAAATGTCAAACTGCTTTATTACATAAGAAAACATTGATATTGTCATCCCTCATGTTAAGCATACAAGTTCCATGATGCATCACTGCACATTCCCCTCCCACCAGGTATAAAAAGTACTTACTTTTGGTTTTGAATCTCTCTCTCGTCTTCCCCCTGGAAGAAGGATGTACTTAAGAGAGAACATAGATATAATGTAAGTTTACATTTCTACAATAAAAGAATTACTCTGACAATAAACATTTTTTAAAGTTAATTTTGGCTAGATCCATTAAAGGTTATTAACAAATTGGTAGCAGAGGATGGTTGCCAAATTAACTTGAACAAAACATGTCAGGATCAAAAAAAAAATCATCAGAAAAATCCAGAATTAATATGAGAGCCTTCACCAGACAAATGGCAGATCAACTGACACAATGGGAGCAATAATAGGAACTGCTTTGGATGAAGACCCACAACTAAATGCATCTACACCATTCACGCCACCCAGGAATGAAACCCAGGAGAAAGACAAAATAACTGACAAAAATGAAGATTTAAAATCAACCCTACTCAGAATCATCAAAATATCAACAAGCAGCAAAGACCCGATCGCAGAATTAAGAGCACTCTTTCAAAATACAGACAAACCTCGAACTGAAGAAAGCCAAACAGAGAAAGAAAATAAAACTGCCAGCGCTGAACCGGTAAGTCCTTTACAATCTTGTTTAAACTTACCGGAGGCAGGAAAATATGCTGAGACCCCATTTTCCAGACCTACACAGCTCAAAGCCACAGCTAATAAAAATGGCCAACCAATGACCAATCACTGCAGGAGTTTTGAAATGGAAGGCGGGAAAAAAGGAAAAAGATAACCCTGAAAAGAACAACGAAGGGAGAAACAGGCAGATTGAATGCGAGTCTAACGAAATAGTTTGTGAAGATGGCTGGTCAGTTCTTCACTTGACAAGACCAACAACACCAGATAACAGAGAACCCAAGACTAACACTCAAAATAAAAGTGTCAACAAGAACTCTCCCTCAGAACAGGAAATCTCAAGAGCGATTGAAACACTCACAACAGCATTCGGGGCTGCATTCACACCCCCAACTCCAAGACAATCACAGACAATGAACAACGAACTCTCGGCAGCCACGTCATCTCCACACGACCCAGCAACCACAGGCAGTCTCCCAGCACCTTCAATCAACATTCCAAAAGCTCCAGAAGCGGCTGCAGCGATCACAGAAGTCATGTTCCCCCTCAATGTATCTCCAGCAGTTATCTCTGATCTCCAAGCAACCCAGAAAGATTTCACAGCTCCATCTTCACTCCTGACGGCCTCACTGGCTTCCGCAGCAGTCCTAGTGTCTCCAGGGTACTTACTAGCACAACCAATAGCTCAAATCTCCCAAGGGGGATTCCCAATGCTCCTGAATCCAGCACAGCTTCAGGATGCTACAGCTCCCCAGTCAGGAATTAAGAATGAAACCACAGTTCCAATGCAATTTTTTAACCCTTCATTTTCTGCAGCAGCTCTTCAGGGAACATCCTCCACAGGAAACCAACATAAAATGAACATGGCACAAAATCAGAACATCATGCATGTACAGTCAGCTCCAGTCACCTTGCAAAAAAAAGGGACAGTAAGTTTTTCGAACTTAACAGCGTGCATACCAATGCCCTTCTGCCAATATGCACACATTCCAGAACATCAACAACAACAAGTTTTGAACACCAATCCAGTCCAACACAACATTTTACCTAATGGTTTCCTGAAGCTATGTGCAACAGGTAATAATCTAATGGACTGGGCACAGCAATTTCAGATTGCATTAATGAAGGAGAACGCCCTTTTTCTCATACTGAACCCACCCCAAAAACCATGGTCTATAGAGGTGTATTGTATTCACCATCGGGTGTTTTGCTTAATGCTGAGTTCCCTCGAACCAGCCATATACCACATCATACCGAATGGGTCCACCATATCTGAGATTTGGGAGAACATATGTAACCTGTTTTATTGCAAAAATAGAAGTACCGCTAGCAGAATATCTAGAGAGTTTCATTCTGCTAGATTGAGACCAGGAGTAACCATGAGCGAACATCTGCTCAACTTAAACGCCACAAGATCTGATCTGTTACAAAGGGGTGAGACAATCACAGAGGGAAGTTTTATTAGTATTATAATTAATTCCCTTGACTCTAGCTGGGACTATTTTCTTAATCAATTGGATAATCTAAATTATGACAACATTTCATTTGAAACATTATCAGGAAGGCTGGTGGCTGCGGATAATCTCAGAAAGGATCGAGCTTTGCTTCATAAGGAACACAGGGTTGTAAAAAGAGTTAACTTTGTGGAACAGGTAAATGCGTTACTAGGGTGTTATACACGTGGTTCAAGAGATCACTTTAAGAAGAATTGTCCTAAGGCCTTTAAAGGCAGAGAACCCATTAAGCATCCCCTGCCATACTATACAAGTTATCAGAGGGAAAGGTCCAACTCTGGACAAAGATATCAAGGTAGACACCCCAGTAGCCAAAGACACGATGTAAACCTGAGACGTAGAAAATCATCAAGCCCAAGAAGGAGCAGGAGATCCAGTTGGGAGAACAATAGGACTGACACTGATTCCGTGAATGGGATCAGAGATGTAGAACTGAATCTTGGTGTAAACATAAGGGAACAGTGTTGGTTAATTGACTCCGGAGCAACAGCACATACATCTTGCAATAGAGAGCTGTTCACCTGTTTAGACGAAGTGTCATTTAACATTAAAGTTGCCAACCAAAAATTCATGCAGGTGGTTGGGAAGGGGGATATCCACATCCCAGGTCTTGGAAGAATCAAGGAAGTTCTGTTTATACCTGAAATACCATATAACGTCCTATCTGTAATTAAACTAAGCAAAGGTACCAAAATCAAGGTGTTATTTAAGGTCAGCACCATCCAACTTACCAATGATAGCAAGGAGGTAGGGGATGTTATAGTGACCAGTAGGTTATCTTATTTTATACCCACAATAAATACCACCGCACAAATCATAGCCAATTTATCAAATGATGGTGTTAAGAATGGGAAGGAAGAGAGGGAAAAAGATGATAATGCTGACAGTGACACAAGTGATGGGGAAATAGAAGGGGAAAGTGATAATGATATTAACGATGTAAGTGTTGAAAATGTTGTAATCAAAACAAATGACTCAAAGCATATTTCAATTGGTAAACCTTTACATAATAATTGTGCCCATATTTTGCATAGATAGTTGGGGCATATTGGTTTTCCCGTTGTTAAAAAGATGTTGAATTGTTCTGAGGGACTCAAAGTAAACAATTGTGAAAATTATGTAGAGTGTTCCATTTGTAAGAGTTCAAAGTCAAAAGAAAAACCCCGACCAAAAAATTCAAAAAGGAACACCACGCACATTTTTCAGTTGGTACACATGGATCTAGTAGGCCCCTTGAAGCCCTCTATTGGCCACAAAAAATATTTTCTCACAATTGTTGACGACCATAGTAGATACGGTTTTGTATATACCCTCAAACACAAGGGGGAAACATTCACCAAGTTTAAAGAATTCAATAAGAGGGTAGAAATCCAACATAACATTAAAATCAAACAGATCATGACAGACCGCGGTTCTGAATTTCTTTCCAAAGAATTCAGTGACCGGATTAATAAACATGATTTAATACATTTTACAACTTCACCATTTTCTGCTTTTCAAAATGGTGTGGCAGAATGCAGGAATGGCATATTACAGACATGGTTAGATGCATATTAGAAGATGCCAGATTAAACTTTTCATATTGGGGAGAGGACATCTTATATTCAAACTATACCCTTAATAGAATATGGTCAAGTGTGATACAGAAAACCCCATACGAAATAATGTATAATCAGAAGCCCACACTAGCACATCTCCATGTTTTTGGGGTAACTGCTGATGTACACATACCCAAGCAACTCAGACAAAAAGGAGATGAAGTATCAAAAAAACTCAAATTTGTTGGTTATGAACCAAAAACCAAAGTTTACAAATTCATGGATAGTAATCACAAGATAATCATATCGAGATCAGCAAATTTCCATGAAAACACAAACTGGAGTAAAATCCATTCAAATGAAATAATAATTGGTAGACACATTCAAAACTGATCAGAAACAAACACAATTTCACACACACACACTACAAAAACAAAACCCAACAGAAATAGCATTAAAGGTTAGGGAGTGGAAGGAAGGTCACCACATACTCAAAACCAAAGGTATAGATGAGTACAGTTCAGATGACTCATCGGAAAAAAATATCCCAACCAAAAACATACCCAGGATCTCACTAAGATCTAATAAGGGCAAAATTCCAAATACCTTAAGGGACTATGTGATGTCTATTAATACCACCATAACTACACCCAAAAATTATAATGACATACACGCACTCCCACCAAATGAACAGCTAAAATGGAAAGAGCCCATGCAGAAGGAGATGGAAAGTATTAAAAAAAACTAGAAGTTTGTACCCCCTCAAAGGTTCCAGAGAACAAACAAATTATCAGTACCAGGTGGGTATACAAAATAAAACCCTTAGAGGATAACAAAAATCTATACAAAGCAAGACTGGTGGCACAACGTTTCTCACAAAAGTTTCCAGACGATTACATAGACACTTATTCACCTACAGTGAGGGCAGAGAGTGTTAAGACAGCCTTAGTCATTGTCTCAATTCTAAATGAACACGTGTATCAATTCGATGTACAAACAGCATATCCTACCCGCACCATTAGAAAAGGAATTATATGTCAGAGCACCACCAGGAATTGACTGTAATGAAGGAAAAACCTGGCTACTCAATAAAAATCTCTATGGTCTGCGACAATCGAGTAAGAGATGGTACGATTGTTTTTCCAAAACTTTAAGACTAATAGGTTTCACCACATCAGCTGACAAATGTGTATTTATTAAAAGGGAACAAGGTATATGTGAAAAAGTACTTGTCTATGTCGATGATATATTATACATATGTAAAAGTAAATTTAAATGTGATCAATTCACCAAAAAACTTCAAAAACATTTTTCATTGAAATCTTTGGGAAAAATTGATAAATATTTAGGAGTTCAGATTACCGAATCACATAGTGATTTCATACTATCACAAAAGGAAAAGATATTAGAATTACTGGAGAAATGCAATATGTCTGATGCCAAACCATCATATACGCCCAAGCAGACTGACTTCTTAAAGAACATGTTTAATGATGATGAGGTATCTAAGAATGATACAGTTTATTGACTACAATTGCTTCGTTACTTTATATAGCCAATTGGACTAGACCGGACATAGCACTATCAGTCAACTTACTCTCAAGACACATAAATAATCCAAAAATGTATCACTGAAATGCGATCAAAAGATTATTGAGATATTTGAAACACACTGCTGATGCAGTTTTGTCGCTTAATCCAAATACATCGAGCACATCTAGACTTTCATATTACGCAGATGCCAATTGGAGATGTCAAAACACGAAAAAGTACGTCAGGGTATGTTATTTTTCTGAATGATAGTCCTATCCACTGGTATACCGGAATACAAAAACTTGTATCAACTTCAACTACAGAAGCTGAATTTGTTTGTTTATCAAATGCCGCAAATAACTTAATTTGGTTCGACGATTTATTGATGGACATTTGGAAAGAACCTTCATACCCCATAATCATTCAGGAGGATAATAAAGCAGCAATAGATATATCCAAGGCCGATGCTGTAGGCCATAGATCAAGGCACATCGACATTAAGTACAAGCACGTGAGACAGTTGTCAGAAATTGGATTCATAAAAGCTGTACATTGTGAGACTAAGGAACAAACTGCAGATATTTTGACCAAACCTCTTCCCTTAAAACAACATTCATACCTGACAAAGAAACTGTATATAATTATATAAATGGTGTATGATAATATCTATGTTAATGTTCCCTCAATGATAAATCAGTTCGACCTTAGAAGGGGAATTGTTAAGGTAAAATGTCAAACTGCTTTATTATATAAGAAAACATTGATATTGCCGTCCCTCATGTTAAGGATACAGGTTCCATGATGCATCACTGCACATTCCCCTCCCACCAGGTATAAAAAGTACTCACTTTTGGTTTTGAATCTCTCTCTCGTCTTCCCCCTGGAAGAAGGATGTACTTAAGAGAGAACATAGACATAATGTAAATTTACATTTCTACAATAAAAGAATTACTCTGACCATAAACATTTTTTAAAGTTAATTTTGGCTAGATCCATTAAAGGTTATTAACACATTATATAAAGTTATATACATATGCTAGAATTTATAATAATAGCAAAGGTATTTTGAGCAAAAGCCTTTCATTTTTTTTATAGAAGAATGAGTACAGATTAAATTCCTTAAGAGTTGTCTTGCTAATTTTTCCACAGAATTCCTTGCTTACTCAATATTCATAACTTTTTCTTTATTTTTGTCTCTATGTTGCTATGCTATATTTTTAATGGGTAACAAACTAGTGTCATGAAATGAAACAGCTTCTGTCTAGCCTCAGAAATTCTGATATATTCAGAATCCTTTCCCAAATTATTCTCTTTCTGAGTAATTAAGCCTTGACTTGATGAAAACAACTATAGCTATTAAACAAAAATCAAAATAAAAAAATCTGGATTTGCATGTATAATTGTCTTTGAAGAAATTATCAGCATAATTTTGATGAGCACTAGATCCGATCATTAGCCTATTTAATCTCAAAGCTTTTCTGGTTTCTAAGGTAAATGCTTTTTCCAAATCAGGAACTTACATCCTGCAAATAATGGATCTAGTAATTTATTTAAATTTGTATTAACTTAAATTAGACTTTCCCAACCTACTGTTTTAAATGTTTGAGGCCAAGTTCTAATAATTATTAACCTATGGCTGATGATCCAGAATCCTAGGAATTATTGTCCTAGGGTTCTGGATCTTATTATTTTCTCTCCAGAGACGAAGATAAAAAATGGTGAAATTCTGAATTTCTTGCAAAATCTGTAGTTACAAAATAGATACAGAATATTCATGAGGCTTGTTCCTTTCTTAAAGTAAGGTGGGCAGCAAAGTATCTCGTCTTTTCATGCATCAATCAAACTCCAAGGAAAGAGAATTTCCCCCATATTAGAAATCATGATTAATCAGGGAAGCTAAAGAGTAATAGATGTAATAAAAAATACCAGCATTGTTCATTTTGTCATACTAATAAATAAGTGCATAATAACCATTTTGAAAAATATTCTAAAGGTCCCTTAAATGAAGTAGAAAAATCAAATATTCTTATACAGGTTTCAAAATAGCATTACCCAAGGTAACTTTTTTAATTAAAAAAATTGGGTCACTATAATAACTAAAATGAAATATTTATCTCTTAATTTTTTTTCTCCAAGTAATTATAGGATGCAAACTTTCCCAAAGTCTAAATACTTATGTGGTAGAATTACAAACAAATGAATGGAAGAACATAAAATAAATACTTGCCAATCCTTAAATGCAGTGACATGCCCCTCTTTTAGTATCCTCTGGAAAAAGTGATATTGTGTTGCAGCAGAAATAGTAATTAAACCACCAATGCTAGCACAGTAAACATTTCTTTAAAATTAGGTCTTAACATGCTGATCATGTTGGGACAAATTTAGTTCACACTCACATGACCATTTTCTTATAATTATCCTGAAATGTAATAAGATATTTCATTATTAATCTGAAACTTTAGCAGAGAAGTTACTGAAATTATCTCTAAATTTATACTTGAGTTACTGGACTCATTATTTCAAACATCTTGGACTGATTCAATATCAGTAATGATTCATTCTTTTGATTAAGAAGTGATTCCATCTGTAGATGTCAGATAATTACTGAGATGACCTATAATGAGAACATTTCACAACTCTCCAACTTAAATATCGTGTTCCCTCAACAACATAATGACTTCCTTCTAGATCTTTTTATAGTGTGTTAAACTCCTGGGGTTTCTTTTCATGATCATTCCCTATCAAAGATTTCTTCTATCATTTCTTTAGACAAAGAAACACAGTGATTCCATACAATAATAACAACAAAACAGTTTCATGACCTATGATGATATTTTAATGCATTTTCTTCTTGGCACAGACTTCTAAATTCTATTAAAAGGCTATTACATCAGGATTCCAATAAATTATTTCCATACAAAGATTACACCAGATATTCTTTTGAGCCAAATTTATGAGAAATACATATAGCATTTAAATTTTTATTAATGTGAATGAATATTTAATTTGGAAAGCCAAAGAGTTATACCAAAAACTTTTTGTTTTGTTTTTCATGTAAGTTGCAGTTTCTTTTCTTATTTCTATGTTCATGGAACAGAGAAAGTATACAGATCATATAATCTCCACATTGATACATATTTCAGTTTGGTTTTGCAGATAGTTACTGAGAATATTAAGATATTTTCATTCATGGTCATTTTATTAGTTTTTCTGATTGTCTATAGTTTGATTTCCGACCTCCCTTTCCATCCCCAACTGTCTTTCTCATTCTGAATAGCATTTATTCTGCTTTATATGATGGCCACTATAATTGTCAAGAAATCTTCCTGCTTCTATACAATGTCGACAAATAAATAACTACAATAAA